ATATAGACTCGTCGAAGTTTGAACTTCGACTCGAGACAAATTTTCTCTCAATCGGGAGCCTCTCTGCGCTTACAAACGATCAAAACAAAAAGAAGAAAGTTGAAGACTAGATTCGAACTCCCGTTCTGGATTTTTCTATACACGCATGCAAATATTTTGTGAAGGAACAGTTCAACGGAAAATGCTTGTCATATAGCACATGCTCTAATGCATATCAACTGTCTTCCACTGTTGAACCCATGTATCAATCGTCTGTTTTTGAAGAAAACGTTTGGAACGCATATATGCGTCTCCCGTTCCGAAAGGGTTAAGTAAGAAAATGAATTATATCTTATTAGAAGAACATTTTAGTCACCACGCTACTGACAAGTTATGATAATTTATTTTTGTTCTTTCTTTCTCATACAGCAATGTTTACTTGTTGAAAGAAACAAGAACAACGTGCGAGTCGTGTTTTTCCTACTGGAAGTAAGTTATATACATTTATTCTTATTCATTCATTGTTTGTTTCATCCTTCTTTGGAGACGCATTTTTGATATTACTTTTTTCGGAACATTATCATACTTTAGAGGTTTGAAGTTTTTTCTGACGATGAGAAAAAGCTAACTTAAGTAATGTATGCCTAGACTGTAGTTGACTTAATAAATATTGGCCCGGTTCAAGGGTGTTCTGATTAGTGACCGAACCAGTTACTGCGGTTTTCGATAATTAGGCAGTGACGGTGTTTTTGCACATATTTATCCGCAACGAGTCATCTGTACAGAAGTGAAAATAGATCAGTTGATCAGTCAAACTGATCTTTATTACCTGGCCACAGGACCTCAGTTATTGCAGTGTTCACCAGTAGATGACAATCACGCTATGTGGGACTTGCGAACGCTACGTAAACCAGAACACTCAAGTCGATAAGTTGACAGAAGTTACAAAAGATACCTGTACTTGCCCAAAATATACGTACGAGTACTTCCAAAACTCAGTAATCGTGAGTTTTCTCGGCTCAAATTAAGTTATGATCTTTAGCTGATATGCGCAACAAATGACTCATTTTTATTAGAACAAAACCCAACAGCACAAGTAACACAGAAAGCATAGATAAAAGAAATCTTTGCTGTTAAAAGCTACCGTCCGCTTTTGAAAATCAATTATGCTCATACCTTTACTAGAGAATCCTGTTTCTATACTTTCAGAAAGTTTCCTATCAATCAATAATTAGTATTAACCATGAATGCACTTGTTAAGCCTATAATAGCACCGTATTTTATCTCGGCCGCTGCTGGATGGTCCCTGTTGAAATCATTACAGATGATCATCGATAAAAACTATAATGAAGACAATGTGAAAGTGTATCTTAAAATAATTATCGATGAAACACGAAAAAAATACGTAGAAAATCAGCTAGTTGAAGGTCTACCACTAGATGAGTACTGCGAGAAAATTAAAAGGAGTGGAATTTGTGGAGACGGTCGCCATGAACTAAGCTTACTAAGTGCTGCATATGGACGTGAGTTCCGTGTTTATCAAATGGACCACAATGGTGAAATTGAGAATTTTTGTTGTTATGGGGAGACCACAGACAGTAATCCGAGCAGCGGTTGCTTGTTGTATGACCCGATAAAAAATCATTTTCAGCCATTAATAGAACGGTATTTATCAGGACACATTATATCGACACAGTTGAACCTTAAATATCCGGTGGTACAAGAGTATCTTAGTGCATTTATCAAGTCAAAAAATAAGTCAGGTAAAAAGTGTGCCGCAAACATGATCTGGAAATCCATCTTTAGGCAGCGTGGAAAGAAGTTTCTAAAGAAAACAATACTCTTCTAACTAATTCGAAGTTTAGATTCAACTACTAATCGAACACAAAGAAAGCGTCTTGGTAATGGTTTATTCTGTTTAGGACGAATACCATTCTACAAATGCCAGAAATCTATACAGTCAGAAATAATTCTACAAGGCAACGACATTGCAGCATCGAATGCGTCCAATGTTCATGATTCAAATAGGCGTTTGGCTGGTAAGAATTGTTTGCAGTTTGAAAAAATAAACTGCAAATCCTGCGTTTTTATTATTAAAACGAAATTTTAACTACGCGCTAGCGGCTTGCGCTCCGGTTGACAGTACGCAGACTCAGATCTTATTGATAGTAAACTTGTCGTTGTGTGCTATTTTAGATGCGGCTGAATCGAGTATTATACAGGCTGGAGAGATACGTGGTGATGGTCAAAATGGTGAGTGTCCCGAATGTAAATTTATGCTTTTCAGTCTAACTTTTTTTGTTTATAACTTCAGAAGTGGCATCAATTGAAGATGGAAACGCAACTGGTAAATAAAGCGAGTCCGATTCTTTTGCAGTTGCGGCAAAAAACACAAATTTTTTGTAGAACCTGGGGAGAGACAGGAGCAACAATTACAAGGCGCAATGCTTGAGCACAATGCGTTAGATCCATCGCAAACAACTGTTCGTAAGTGTTACAGAGATTCTAGTAGTGGGACCTTGTTGTTTAACTCTACTTTAGAAAAATATGCAGAATCATCATCGGACGAAACTAGCGGACATCACAATCAAGCAATCGGTACGTGGTACAGAGTTGTGACTGGATCGGTAAATCGGTATCGGATCAGTCGATTGACCGGTAACTGATCCAATCCAATTAAATTCTTCAATCAGCCGATATCCATCCACCGATTTAATCTTTCAAATCAATTTTTTTTTTGCGGATGTTTTTTAGTCCGAAAAAAACACAAAAAACAAAATATTTCTATATGAAGCTGTAGTCAGTATAAAACTTTAATCTTGTACCTGAAGTCAGTATGTTTTTTAGCAAACTTTCTCTGTTATATTCTCTTTTGACGTTTAGTTCCCGTTTCGTCAAAAACTTACTCATACTGCCGGTACCACCTTTGCTATTTTTTGAAGATTATACTTTTGCATTTACTACTTTTCGACGAAACGGGAATCCATCATTTTACTTCAAAAGATCACTGATTTTTTACCGATCTCATGCTGATTTCTGATCGGCCGATCCGATCCGGTTCCAGTTTATTCAATCGGTACAACTCTGACATGTTAGACGTATCGTTAGGCAGCTGCTTACATTGCGGTACAAGTATGTCACTTTTTTCTAGGCTTTCAAATCACATCTACAAGTACTGTACCGAAGTTCACTGATCTGGCAACAATTCTACCGGAGTTTTACAATCAAATCGGTGAACTTTTTTATTTGTTACAACGTAATGTAAAGTCAGAACAGCCACCTGCTAATGGTGAGTAAAGAGAGCTCGTTTACTAAGTGTATTCCTGTGATTTATTCGTTTACCCCTTAAAGACTCAGCGGCATTGTTAAGTCAAGCGTTAATAATGCCAACCAATGATAACGTTTCCATCGAAGAAATACTTGGGTTTATTACATCCAAAATCTCGTTTCTGTCTGAGTTTCTCAAACTTAATGTCGCACGTGAACCAATACCACAAGAAGAAAATATTAGCAGTGAGTAGTATAATTAATGATGATTTGCTTGCTTCCGAGAGTCTTATTGTTTAGAAGAAAGCAGAACTGTTCAGCCAACGTCCCGAGAAGTTGCTGGTCCGACTCATAATACTTTGGATGTAGCTAAAAAACCTGCAGATGGTAAGAAAAAGACCAAAGATCCGAAGTACAAGAAAAAAAGATGTTCATTTTATATTCTAGTCAGCCAACTGGTCGAGAAACGAGCACCAGCTCCTCTCATAAAACGTCAGCCAAGTCCTTGTCAACATCGACACTACATAAGTGATATAACTAAAAGCTTCCCTTGTATACAAGCAGAAGGAAAAATAGAGCGACAGCATCCAGCAATGGAGGTAATATGCGAGTACTTTTGTCATAAATAAAAGATAAGTATTGTGTGCTGTAACAAGTCTTCTACTACTGCAGATCAAACCAGAGTACAAAGGCATGTATGTCGAAGTTAAACTGGTTAATATGCAACATGAGCCACACAGATTTCGTCTCATACCAGCACACTCGAGAATGAACCGAGATAAAACTTTGAGAATTGATGGTGTGACAAAGAACGACGATGGAATTTACATAACTGACGACCCTAATTCAAGTGTTATTGCACATACCGACACTAAATCTATATTCTTTGCAATATCAGATGCAGATATAAGAAATCTAATGAAAAGGTGAGGTAGTTTTATCTTCGTTTACTCATACAGTTTCGCAGGAAAAGGTCAATATCTACCCTTAGTGCCTATATCGGCTATCGAGAGATGTCTGTTTCGTCCGAATTGTCGTTTTTATTATCGACACATCAGTCTCTATTGAAAAGCATGAAACTCTAAACTCACGTTGTTACGGTTTGCTTAGCTTTGAACTGAAACTCTTAACAGAAAAGCAAAGTCTCGTAATCACCAAACCGATGATAGCCGAAGAAAGATTACAATTGTCGAAATTAGCCTTTACTGTCGGCACATTGAATTTGCAAACGCTTAAACTTATTCCGTACACTGAAACTGTCTACAGTAACAGAATGGAAGAATGTATGTGTACCAAGGTCTAAGAGCTTTTTCTCGAGCTCATCGAACGTGCGTTGTAGGTAATGCAGAACTCAAAATGGGTAAAATAACACCGAAATGTTTATGTCAAAATGGAGGTGAAACCATAAGCATACCGGTTATTAAAGGGAAGATAGAAAAACAACGTACGTTTCTTCCTCGTTAGGTCTTTAATTCACGCAACAATGCTCCTTTTTCTGTTTTACCAGAGTGCCGATTATGGCTGAATGGAATTTTACAAACACAACTCTATTTCAAGAATCCGGCACAGAAAAAAATTGAATTTAAATCAATACCACAAGCTCTTCATGAACCAACCTTACGAGTCAGATTTGAAAGATTAAATCTTGATGATGTATATACACCTTTGGTAGAAGCACAAATTCCTTACATAGAACATGAAGGTAACTTCTGTATTTTAGTTCTGTGTTATACCGTTCTGTACAACGTTCTCTCTTTCTTTTTAGCGTATGGTCGAAGTCATCCATCTCATACATGTTTTGTGTTGAATCAGAATAATGAAAGCAACCAGAAGAAAGGAACGAAACGAAAACACGAAAATAACCTTGATCCAAGCCATAATGTTGAGTAAGAACATAAATAGTGAAATATGACTGATGAAAAAGCATACCGGTTGTTTCTTTTTTGTTTTTTTTTATATATCTTTTTATGATATATTGTCTTTGAAGAAAAGCTCAGTTTTTCGTACTATGCCCGATGACTAAAGAGTGGCACAAGATAAAAAACTGGATTTTACATCCAACAGTTCAGAAAATCCCACAAACGTTACTGAAGATCTTCACGCATTCTTTAGAATACCTTAATCAAAGCAAAGGACAATGTTCATGGAATCACTGCTGAAACACAGTAACGAAGGAAAGATTAATTCTTATATATTTCCACATGTCAAAAAATAGATATTTAGAGTCACCACACGCTGCTAGACACCTAAGAACAGGCCTAAAGGTAAATCCGCAATACCATTACCATCATCGAAAACATACACCAAGCTTTTGTTACTCACCTCATGAAATTTATTGTATGGCAATATTTATGTATATATACTTACTTCCTTGCACATACAATTAACGGTTCTTATTACCAACTATGGAGAAAAAACAGAAAATGATGTAAGTTGGGTTTTTCTGCAGACAAGAAGAGCAAGTAAAAAGAAAAGGTGCATTTTTCTCTACTTGAAAAAAGCAAACGCATTCAGATAAGAGTTAGAAAAGAAAAATCCTTTGTTTCTTCGACCAAGAAAAAGAAAGAAATTATGACATTGAATAATATTTGTGTTATGCTATTGCCATAGCCCAAAATTTTGCCAATCAACGAACAGTACAGCATGTACTGACAGACATTGTGTATTTCAATACTATTTGTTATGTTCAAAATTTTCAAAAGCAATAAACTAGTCGGATGACGTGGATTAGACAAGCATTCGACCACTTAACTATCGACAGTTAGTTGATATTGGCAATCGAACTATCATTAAGTGTATGGAACACTTTGATCAGTAAATAAATGTGTTGCTGTATGCCTGTCTCTAAAGCATCTAGGTTAAGGTCGTATTGACGAAATTCATTGATAGTATCACCCATTCCTTGCCACATAAAACTTTCTACGTTACGATAGGTTATACAGCCAAGAGCCAGTGGATGACGAAATGCTAGAGTTATGATCACGACATTGTAAAACACATATGTAAGGGTATACTCAGCCGTTGTGCGCAATGAATATGACCAAATGTTGGTGGGCTTGAAATGATGGCATCAGCGCGAAATGGCTTACAGGTTTTGTCGTTTTCGTCCCGAATGCCAGCTTTCCATGTTAATTGAATAATTTCTCTTATTTGTGGTCGACGAGTGAGTATATATTATACTAGAAAATGTTGGTGGAATACCACGATTTTTCACCATATATGCCATCAAACGATCAGGATCACCACCTAGTGGATAGCCATTTTTTGTTACTAAATCACGGAAGTTTTCATGTGTGGCTAGACGAACGCGATGATCGCACTCTTTCACTCCTTTAGCCAGAACGATAAACGGTTGAACATCACCTTGACTCCCAACAGTCATTATACAAATATTTAATTCTGGTATGTGAGACTCATCTTCTGATCCAACCACAGATTTCTTGAATGCTGCATGTTGAGTTAACTGATTCCGTGACATTTTAAAGGATAGATTATATATTTAGAGGACTTTTTAGATACCTTTACATTTACCTATCGACCTTGTTAAGTAGGCAGGAGAAGAAATTTTAGCAAAAAACTAGGCATACAGAAATAGAACATAAAACAGCTATCGGATGAAATCAGTTCGATCTCGACAGGCAAAATATACATGTTGTGTTCTTGTTACAATTTTACGTTAGTACCTGTGTAATGGTAAAGAACCTTCTGTATTTGGAAAACAAAAGCTGAGGGAGCTGCGTCATCATCCATGATGAGTATGGTGTTACGATGATGGAAGTTAAAATTTGTTTCCTTCCTAAGAAAGTACATTTTTTCTGAACCAGGAGCGAGAAAATCTGAATTCGATCCGTAGTTCTCTATTCTCTTCATCAGAACTCAACTTTTGTGCAATAAAAATATCATATTTGGAGTTAACGCCGAACACCGACTCGAACGACATATGTGTCGAAATTTTCCTTGATTTTCATTTTTTGGTGATAGATAAATCGACTGGGTTAGACTCCTTAGATGCGAAACATTAGGTAAAAATTATTCGATAGAAAACTGTTTATCGCCAACTTTCATAAACACCTATTTCAAGACTACCTGAAGTCACTAAATGCCGCTCCGGAAGCTCCAAGGAAATCCACCACCACACTAGAACCACTGAAAACCAAGGTTCCCGCTTCAGTTCGAATTTGAAGGCGACACTTTCAGTTGTCTCTCTATCACGAAAAACGACGTAGTCATACTTGAAGTTTTTGAGCAATGAGTTGGCTCTCCAAAGATCTCTTCGAAAACGTATTTTACAAAAGTATTCTGTTATAAACGTGACCCAAAGTCTTTTCTTTGGAATAGTGAAAACCCGATCTGTCTTGCTCTTTTCGTTCTTGCATTATTTGAAACACCTGGGCGACCATTCTGTTTTAAAACTGATAGAAGAATGATGTGTAAAGCGAGAAATGTTCTGTTTCTCAACTAAGGCACGCGTACAGAACTCTCAAAACGTGTCTTGTACACTCTTTCTCTGATGTTGAGAAAACGTCACTTATTTGTGCAATTTATGTACTTTTTCCTAACTTGTTCGCTCTTTCCAGCATGTCGGTTTCATCTTCACACCCTGTTAGATTTCTTCAGACCCAGAGAGCTAATCTTCATTTAGATGACTACGTGAAAGCTAAGCATTCTAGTAGATTGTGTTTACGTTTGTGTTTATCACTCTGTCTATTCATTATCGTGTATGCAAACACTTTTTTTGCTTGATATTTGGTGAAAAAGTGTATTAATCCATTGCCTCCATTGCAGCAAAGTATTGGAACGATTAGTTTTCGACAGATTGTCTTCACATTTAAATGAAAACTCTTTTTTTAATGACAATCAATTTAGTTTTCGATCGAAGTCTTCAACGGTAGCTGCGCTTACATATCTCACGCAACATATTAGTTCGCTGATCGACAATAACATGAAAAAAGCGTTTGACCTAGAAGATTAGGACAGTGTTGCTACTTGGCGTTAAATAAAAGTCACTTGCTAAACTCCATTGTGTGAGACTATTGAAAAACGCATAACAAGAGATATTATTGAATCTGCCACAGGTCCAACAGAGTGGTTGTTACCAGCTATGGTAGTTCCAAAGAAAAATGGCGAAATACGAATTGTCATTGATGCACGTACAGCAAACAACGTCCCCTGTTCGAAATCGAAACCTTGAAGAGTACGATACAAAATCTTGCAGTGTATCATACGAAACCTCTTCAATTACTATACCTCAATGAGGTTTCACAGATACGGACCATACCGGATTGGTAAGGCAAAGTTCCACGGAACTTCATACGTTTCATAGTATACCTTTTTTTTTCCAGAGTATATCCCGAACGGGATATCGCAGAAAATTTATATCCTGATCGAGATATGTTTGGAAAACATTTTGGAAAAAATCATTACCGCAAAAGTCGTGATGTTATTGCAGAAAAGTGAATATAGCATAAGAAAGCGGATGAAAAACTGAGTCGGTATCAAAGGTGCTCTAGTTTTGGTTTAAAGGTCTACCGTTAAGGATTATTTAAATTCTAGTGGGAATATACAAAACCCATATTCGTGATTAGCGTCGAAAGCCAAATCGAGTGATGCACTTCGGCAAGTTTTTTGCAAAACACATCACTTGATTTGGCTTTCGACGCTGACCACGAATATGGGCTTAGTTTTGCAATAAAGGGTTTTCTTCATCGAGAAAACGCAAAAGAAACTGGAAAGGAAAGTTTTTTAAAGGAAAGTAAAAAGCTTTCCTTTCACAAAAGAAAAGTAGAAAAAGAAAAGTCAATTTTTACTTTCTGTTTTTTTGGAAAGAAAGAGAAAGTGCCACTCCTAATTATACTAAACTACGCAAGTGTGTATATATGTATGTACATATATATGTCGCAGTAGAAATTGAAATTCAATAGAATTCAAAATGGTTTAGTGGGAATATACAAAACAGTCTGATCGGGATATATTTCCCATTCGGGTTATGAGATGGGACTGCCCGTTAGTTTACGGCACCTTATTACTTTTATTGAATTATTCTTCAGTATGCTGTTCGATGTTTCTGTGAAGTGGACGTTTTAATAAAATTTTCGATTGTTAGCTTTTTTTGTTATGAACAAAAGGTATTACTATCGGTAAGGATGTAAAACAAAAGATGATAATCTCAGCGTGTTGCAACCCCGCGTCGATACGTTCAAGTCCTTTTAATGATATTTTCTTTACCATAAATTTATGGACTTACTTTTGGGGTGTAGCAGTTACTTGAAAGTTATACTTTCCCAATAGTATGAACAACAAGTGTAAAACAGAGAGAGGAAAAAGACAATTTTAGTTCGTGATGCTATATTTACTGCATCAGATGCACAAAGCATAAATTCTGTTTTCAATCTCATCCATATAGTATTTACAATATCTGTATTGCTTGTTACAGTTTATACAATAAGTGCATTATGTAAGGCGCGCGTAATTCAAAGATCGAGCACTATTTTATTTTTGGTTTTCTTATATCTCATTCGATAGAGAATTTCACGCTGATCAAGAATATTACCCGTTTAGCCTTCACAGTGTACGTTTTCACGAAGAAAAATTCGAAATACTGTGAAAATCTCAAAATCGGAAAAAACTTTCACCGAACTACCGTCGATTTACGAATGGCTACAAGGGGGAAAATCAAAAAGGAGTTCTTATGATTGTGACACGCTGTATTGAATATATAACACCAAAACGGTTCGTTGCATATTTTTAATGACTGGTCCCAGCTTTTCAGATATTCTGACTAGATCAATTTGTAAAGAATTTGAAAAACTATGGAACAGTATATTATAGAAAAATATTTGACGAAACAAGAAAAGGTTATTCAAAATTGACTTGGCCAATTTTAGACGAAAAACGCAACGTTCTAATGAAAATTCAATATCGCAAGAAAGAAAAACAATTTCGGAGAAAGAATATGTGGGTTTGTACTCTGCTATGTCGCGGATTGAATGGCATCCATCTTTCAAGGAGAAAAGGGAGATAGGTTTTTCCGGCGAGATTTTTCCCAGACACTTTTTTTTTGCATCAACCATGCAAGATGTGGAGAACTTCGAAGACATATTTCCTAATTCAGTTTTAATGCTGAATCCGAAAATAAATGTTTGGAAGCTTCAAAATACAAAGGAGAAAAATTATTCAATTTTTTCGAAACATGAAGGTTTTTTCGATTTTGAGAGCCTCGCAGTATTTTTTTCTACGTGAAAACGTGCGCTGGGAAGGCTAAACGGGTGATATTCTTGATCAGCGTGAAATTCTCTATCGAATGAGGTATAAGGAAACCAAAAATAAAATAGTGCTCGGCCTTTGAATTACGCGCGCCTCACTATACACCTACTATACTTAATCAACTGGAACCATCAGTTAATTTACAATGAGATTATGGTTTTAGTTTGAAATTGTGCGAACGTGTTGATACACGCCTCTTGACAACACAAAAGATGAACCTTATTTTGCAGTAAAATGAGTATTGATTACGTTTTTACTTATATTTATCATAAAAAATTATGTTAAGTAATACGTTAATAAAAAAAGAATGTAAAATGTGTTAATAAGGTTATTTGGAAAATTGGCATACTATTAAGAATGCTTAGAAGTGGTGCAAAGACGCACAGGTGCCATTTCAGAATAGATTGATATAGATGAGGTTGGAGACAATTTTTTTTCCTTTTTGTCTATTTTAGTTTTGTGCTGGTTTCTTTTTAATGGATTCAATGCGTTCTATCATATTCGAAATGTCAATAATTTTAGATGAATAATAGAGGAGAAAATTTGGAAACAAATAATACAAATACGAAAACAGAAGCACCGAAAGTATCTACTGTTATTTTAGTAAAAGGTGTGTGTTTTGTGTCTCCCATATTATAGCTAATCGTTCATATCTGATGAATATAAATCATCTGTTTCTGATGAACATTCATTAATCTGTCGTTATACATTCCTGATCTCATCTAGTCAGCTAATAATAAAAGTAACATATTAAAAAGATAGTTATTGTCATCACAAGGGAATGCTTGAAATACACATGTGTGTCTGAAAATGTATTATGTGCAGCGACTTAGAAAAGATGTAATCAGATAGAAGTGTACTACGTTTATTTAATCTCACACAATGGAGTTTAGCAAGTGGCTTTTATTTAACGCCAAGTAGCAACACTGTCCTAATTTTCTAGGTCAAACGCTTTTTTCATGTTATTGTCGATCAGCGAACTAATATGTTGCGTGAGATATGTAAGCGCAGCTACCGTTGAGGACTTCGGTCGAAAACTAAATTGATTGTCATTAAAAAAAGAGTTTTCATTTAAATGTGAAGACAATCTGTCGAAAACTAATCGTTCCAATACTTTGCTTATATTTGAAAGCAAGGAAATTGGACGATAATTTTCGACAGATGATCTATCTCCTTTTTGTAAATAGGCGTAATGATGGCATTAGCCCATTTACCTGCAAATTTCTCCAACAAGATTGATTGATTAAAAAGATGCTGACGTTGTGGAGAAACAACATCGACAACACCATGGAGAAATTCCACAGAAATATTATCAGAGCCGGTAGACTTTGTTTTATTTAATTTCATGATCGCTGAAAATATTTCTGGTATCATAAACTTAAACTTGTCTACAGCAGGTAGAACACAGCTAGTGGATGACAATGAGCCGTCCACTTTTAAAAATGAGTTTACAAAATGTTTGCTGAACAGTTCACTCTTTGCTTTCTCGTCAGTAGCTATTGAATTTTTGTGTGTTATTGTAGCTGGAAGATTATTACCTTCCTTACTATACTTTTTTATTTCAGACCAAAATTTAAGCAGATCTTTAAATCGTCTCGTGACGTATTCTAATTTATTTTTCTTAATTCGGTGCAACTCACTACGACTTTATTTCGGAAAAATTTAAATTTAAGTTTTGTATTTCTTCCGGTTGGTTTACATTTTACTCACTAAATGAAGCGTTTCTCTTCATCATGAGTTTCAGAAAAGATTTTGATACTGTCGTCTTTTTCAATTTCTTTTTATTACTCACTTCTTTCATAGGCACGCAGTAGGATGAAGTATTGGTGATGATGAATTACAAAGATCGTCAAAACCTTTACTAACATCAGGTGGTTGAAGAAATGCAAGAGCAGCAGTTTTATTGACATTATGTACAAATACAGGATCTTGTTCATAGTTTGTTTTAGAACCCTGTCAAGTAATCAACTGATTCCTAAGTAGCTTCGGTCTGTTCTTCTTTTTTGTATCTGTTTAACTTATTCGTCTCAATGAAAGTCTTTTGTTTAAAAAAAGTTTTTCTTCTTTTATTACAAATTTCTTGTCTAATTTTCATAGCGACTATATTTCCTAGAGGCCATATTTCGTGACGATCAACTCTCGGCGACCAATTTCTTTTTTCTTTCGACCATTTTTCGCTTTCCTCATTTCAACGTTGCCAAGGGAATGCTTTATGAATTCTGTAGAGAAGCGTAATCACATAAAAGAGAACAATGTATATCCTCTTTTAGGAAGATATCTTTTTGCTGAGAGTAACTGTTGTTCCTGAAAACTCTGTATTTATATTCTAAACTAGTAGAAGAATATATTCGCCATATTTTTATTTAGAATTCGCTCAATGATCATCAATTACTGTTAGTATTGATCAGTTAAATATGAAATGTGTAATTGGTGTTAATTTGAAGATTGCATATTATCAATCCATACATTTCTAAATCGTCGCAGAGTCTCGATGACCAGCGATTTGGCGTTTTGAAGAAGATTCTTAGGGAAATTTAAAGGAATGTTCGTCGATCCAAGAATGTAGGTGATTGATGACGCCTCTTGAAGCGGTTGATCATATTCACCCTTTTTGAGGGCATCAAGTGCATGTTATTGCGAAGACCGGCACAAGATTTGATAAATACTCGATTGTCATGATCAACTAGTTTTTGCTATTGAACAGAACGAGCAATACTATTGCCGACAATGACGTGCAACGAACGAGTGGGATGCGAAGCGGTCACATTCGAGTTCGAACGAGAAGAAATTGGCTTCGGAGAAGAGATGGCTGTTGTGGCAGGCGGCGATAATTTCGTCGGCGACAGAGGCGATGACGAGATCGGCTGGGAAAGAGACAAGATCGATTTTTTCGACGGGTGCTTTGAGTTTGCCGATTCGTCTGTCTTGAGTGGCAAGTCGAGAGCCAACGTTGATCGTGGGCGACGACCCATCGTCGAGAGAGATCGATTTCCGAGGGGCAGGTGGTGACACTTTCAACCCGTTGTTTGTCGTTGGGATAGACGTCCATGCAAGTTGAAGTGACTCGACAAAGTCACGCAGTTCTTGCATACGAAACTTAGTGAACGATCGGCTCGAGTTTTGTTCGTGAAGTAGAAGAATTTCGTCGAGAGACGTGTACCCACCCTCACCCTCACAGCTGCCATTTTATATTCCTCTTTATAATAAATTGATGCTAACAACAAACAAGTGGATGGTAAAGGGTGGAAGAAGAATTTAATAAATAACACTCATATAAATATCTTTTATTATTCAAAATAAATAGTAGAAAGAATCGAACCAAATTGTTGTAAAATATAGAGATAATAATGTGGAGAGACAGATGTATAATTTTCAATAAAAAAATATGCAGTTTTCATAAAATTATAAAAACAGTTAAATACGCACTGTCGGACAAAACATGGAACACGTCCGTTTAGGACATGAACATGAGTAAAAGTTTGTGAAAAAGTTTGAAGCAATTGAAATATGTATTTTGGGTTCTCATTCTTCATCATTTGTATATGAATTTAACTGTCGAGTGTGTCGTGTTGTTACTTTTGTTACGGAGGAAATGGATGAGGATTGGAACGTGCAGCTTTGAGCTGCATAAAGTTGTTTTCCAGCAGAAATCGTATTTTCAGACCCTACGAAACATACGCTAATGCTTCATGATACCAGAAGTGCTTTTACTTACAGGTTTCAGTGTTGTGTTTATGATCTTCTTCATCATCGGCTTCGGCTGTACTTACTGTTAGGATCACTTTTGTTTTCCATTTGTCGGTTAACCAGTCTTCTAGAAAAATAACACAAATCGTCGTTATCCATTTTTCTGTGGGAACTGTGCAGTGCTCACCATTGGACGTGATAGGTTTGTCTGTTTTTATGGCAACAATAGCTTTTATCAATTGCTCTGCCTCTTTCGAGGTACTTTGATGTAATTGCGGCGTAAAATTTGCCATCATCATTTGAGCGCTATAGTTTGGGACTGAGTGCTGCACCTCTTGCATATGTATAATGTAGAGATCATCCGCAGGACTCAGCTGACCAATGACGTGCAATTGTGTACCGGGAGGCAAGACGATCTCATTTTCTTGCTGAAAATATGAGTGTTGTCTGATCACTTTGCCCTTAATGCATTGTATTATAAATATTGTTCGTGGGCCTTGACGTCCAAGAAACTGTTCCAGCACTTTAATGGATTCGGTACACGAGCTCACCGCCCACCATATACACTTTGTTCCTTCAGAATATTCTTGACTAAGGTTCTCTTTCACCCCACGATATACAAGTCCGCTGACAGATGGCAAGTTTTCGAGAGCTGTGATCAATAACTTTAAGTAGCCGAGCCACGGTCTTATAGTCTCATGGCTTTCCCCACGTAAGCCTTCGTTTATTAAAGAATAAACGCTTGGTGTACGATTAGGCCATTCTAACGTGTACAGACGTATAGCGGCTGCTTCATCAACTGTAAGGTGCTCGAGGGAATATTCGGAACATTGTACAGCATCAGCAACATTCACAAGTAAGTTAGTAGTGTAATTTACTGCGGGTTTGAGGGCAAATTCTAGCG